GTGACCATCCTTTCAGCAATATTTTTGCAGACTAGCCTTTTTTTTAAGAGACCAAAACAAGATAAATTTTCTTTCTTTCAAATGTACAAGTTGGCGATTCCTGAGAAAAATAATCAAACTTCCATATAAAAACAATTTTAATGAAGTCGAATGGGTGGTCACCCAACAAATGTGTGACTGTAACACAGTTTCCATTGCTGTGTGCAATCTGATTGTTCTGCATTACCTCTATATTGAGTAAACTTTCCCCCAACTTGAGTACTCACCTACAGCTACCAGTAGGCAACATATTAAAAGTAAACATTCTGGTTTTACATTTCTTGCACTGGTAGTATCGTTGTTTAGTTTCATGCCACTTTAAACTATGATTTTCTTTTTTACATCTCTCGGAAGGACTGAAGTAAGTATACTGACACTGGAAATAGAATGGGTAAAGACATTTTCAGGCGATGATGATGAAACTTTTAAATAGTTGGTTTTCCCCACAACATTGGAACATTCATTGTTAGCTATACCTTGTTATGACTTTGATACTGGCACTCATGGATACACAGGGCAAACTGGCTGGCAAAAACTATATTTATTTATTTATGAAATTAACATACAAGCGAATTTTTATATTGACAAAATAAGTTATGTTGTGTTATGTTAAGTTCAACAATTGATTACGGTCGTTGTTCAACATCAAGGTATGTCAAAACACCAGCACAATGTTACTAAGTTGTTGGAAAATGATAGGTGGATATTGTTTTCCTTGATTATCAGTATCCACTTTAAATCACTGCTCATTTACCAACTTAGCGTATATGAAAATTCTTACTTGTTTACAAGAGACAACTTTGCAAACTTTCTCCATGATAGAAGTTGCCCTTGTTTCCAACTTCTCCTTTTTTTCCAGCTCTTGGAAATACTTCTCTTGAAGATCAGCTTCCACCTGTATCAGAAATATGTATTTATAATTTTCCAAAATTTAATCATAATATATGTTGAATATAGTATATTATTGATTCATCTAGAACTGAAAACAATAAAGTTTACCATTCAGTAAAAGCTATATTTGTATTCATTTCTTAATGTATAATTTAAATTTGAAGTAAAATGCGTCACCACCATTAACACCTTACAGATGGTACATTCCAACACAGTAGCAAGATGGCCTGTTGTTGTTGTTGTTGTTGTTGTTGTCGAGAGCGTGTTCTTGAAACTTGAGTTCCAAGTGGCATATACAACAGATGGTTTATTTACATCAAAACACGTGTTCCGTGTAGTAGTAATATGGCCAAAAATAAAAACAGCCGTTATTTGGCCATCTTTGATCTGATTATGAAACACACTGATATGTTTGATGTATGTGCCAAATATGAATGAAAATGAAACATAAATTGTGGAAATATAGAAGTAAGGCCAAAAAGTCAGATTGCTGTCAATCGGCCATCCTTGACCAGATTTTGAAACAAATTGTCATGGACATGCATCCTAACATGTATAAAGTACATGTATGTGCCAAATTTGAATGAAAACTGACAGAGCACTTCCAAGCTACCACATAAAAAAAACAAAAAAACAAGATGCCTGCCAGTCGAACATCTTTGATCCAATTGCGAAATAAATTGTCATGGACATGTAACATAACGTGTATAATCTATGTACCAAGTTTGAATGACAACTGACAAAGCATGTCCAGCCATCTTTTCAAAAAACAAGATGGCTGCCAGTTGGCCATTTTGAATTGAATCGCTAAACC